ACACAAAAGTCATGCTGTGCTGTGACATGTTTTACAATGTTCAACAGACCAAAACATTTAAAAATGCATACCTGAATATGAAGAAGAAGAGAAAGTAAAACAAGAAGAAAATGAAAACATATGTCTATATTCAAACATTTAGCCCGTCATTTATCATATATAAAATGAATGTTTATAAAATAAATTGTTTTGGGGATAAATTCATTCATTATTTTCGTTTTGGAATTTTATTAAGATAAATGAAATTCAGTGATCCATGCAGTGGCTGCATCATGCAGCTGTTTAGCATACACGGGTACCATATTAGGGAGCTGTTTAGTATATAGCTCCCTTATTTGGTATCCTAATGGAAATTCCTTATAAGGATTAGGGACCTATCTACTAAGTTGAAAGATCAAAATTACGAACAAATATGTCATTTTCTTTCAGCCAACTTTGCTAATACTAATTAAGAAAAATGAAAAATTACTCAATTGCAAAAAAAACAGACCCCCAAAAATACCTGTCGAAAAAACAATCCACCATCACCCCACGGGGGATCTGAGCAGCTCAGAGTGCTCTGACAGGGAAATCTTGAGACTGACAGATAAGTTCATATAGTAAAAGCAACTTGACATATAGTGTCACCTTCAAATATGGTCCCAGTGGGCCAGTAATATATGTCCATCTATGTACATGGCTATGCATCTTGTTGCAGCAGGTCATAACTGCAAAAGGGTGATCTAGTAAGTACTTAAAGGAGCACTATAGGGTCAGGAACACAAACTTGTATTCCTGACCATATAGGATTAAAACCACCATCTAGCCCCCCGTGCCCCCTCATGCCTCCCTAAATATAGTAAAATCTCACTTGTATTCAAGTCTGCAGCCGCTTAATTAGTCCCTGTTTTCTTTAGACCTGCCTGCTGACATCAGCAGTAGTGGTAGCCTGATCCAATCACAATGCTTCACCATATGATTGGCTGAGACTGACAAAGAGGCAAATCAGGGGCAGAGCCAGCACAATTCAGCCCTGGCCAATCAGCATCTCCTAATATAGATTAATTGAATCAATGAATCTCTATGAGGAAATTTCAGTGTCTGCATGCAGAGGGAGGAGATACTGAATGTTTGTATGCATTTTAGGCAACCATGACCCAGGAAGGATCTCTAACAGCTATCTGAGGAGTGGCCAGTCAAGTTATCACTAGGCTGTAATGTAAACACTGCATTTTCTCTGAAAAGACAGTGCTTACAGCAAAAAGCCTGTAGGTAATGACTTTACTCACCAGAACAAATTCAATAAGCTGTAGTTGTTCTGGTGACTATAGTGTCCCTTTAAGATGTCTTTAATGAAGGAGTTGAATAATTTTGAGATTGGAGAAGTCACTATAACTTGCATTTTTCAGTTGAATTTGTGGAACCTCTTGAAGCATTTTAATTGCTTTTGTTTAATTTGTTCATTGAAAGTCTGTAAATTCGGATAACCTGATTTTCAATGGGGGTTGAATAATTAAAATAACTGTATCTCTGAAAGATAATGACAAACTTTGGAGATTAAAAAAAGAGGTTGAAACCAATGTTGCATTTAAACATGAATAGAACTCATCACAGCGGCTTCACTGCTACCAGTCACCTGTCTCTGATTAATGGTATCTTAATAGTGCAAGCTCCTTCTTAAAATGCATACATCAGTGAAAGGATGTTTAGGGCTTAGTGTTCAAAAATAGATTGCATCCATTAAAAATTAAACAGGAATTTTCATCAATAAATAAATATCCTTTAATTGATCCATCAATTCTATAGGAATTATTAACCTAGCAAAAATAAAAAAATGTATATCAAACTAACCATTTTGTTTTACTGAACTATTATCTTCAAATACTGCAGCTGTGTGTACTGAGATGAAACATTAATTGACATCTACTATTTAGACATCAATTAAATGCCTGTATGAATAAAAAAAAAATACATTAAAATCAGAAATTTGCTTTCTACTGACCATTTGGTTGATTGAGGCAAACCATAAAAAATGGTCAACAAGCAAAATTGCTTACCTATATCACTGGATCCAAAGTATAAAGAGCTTTTCAAGATCTGGATTTTAGGTAGGCACCTTACCAGCTAACAACAGGTTAAGGTCTTCTGAGCCTTATCGACATGTATGCAATGGTTTATCCTGTCCGATATCCTCTGCCATAAACATTATCTCTGACTTGCAGACATGTATTAAGACAGGATGTGCACTGTGTAGATCACCCAGAATTGTTCAACATCAAATGAAATGCAGACTCACATTTTCTGGTACAGTCTTGATAATGTAAATAAGCAGGTGGATTATATATATAATCAGGTTAATAAAGTTATATACAGGTATATATCATTGTTTGGCAAATTACCAGCAATTTACCATTTGGCACAATCGTTAATACAAATAAAGGAAATGCACACATTTAATTTTTCTGTGAAATGCTTATTTCCTGTTCCTGTTCAAACATGTATGGCAAGTAAGTGACCAGGGATAAACAAAAAAGCAATCGCCCAAAGTCCCTGGTAACCAATATAGACCATCCTATCATGGACATTTGTGGGTTAATAATGATCAGTAGGTGATCAGTAGGGGGAAGCAGCTGTATACCCTGTACTGTGTAATCCAAATATTGCATGTAATAGTAATTGTTTTGTGCCCACCAAATGCTTATTTCCATTGTTGTTACATTTTATTGACAACCCAATGATTGCTAAAAATCGATGTCTCTCATGTAAGTTACAACTGTCTGTTTCTATACTTTAAAATCTTACCAGTATTTAATTTGCAGCTGCAGCTGGCAAGAGTATTCTCCCATAGAGACTAAAGAGCAGGGGAGGTGCAAGGATTTCTGCCGCCCTAGGTAAAGATCAATTTTCCCGCCCCCTCATGTCACTCTTTCACTGAAAGACACACACTGACAGACACACTCACTCACTGACAGACACACACAGAAACTCACTCACAGGCATACACTCACTCACTGATAGACACACACAGAAACTCACTCACAGACATACACTTACTCACTGACAGACACACACACACACAGACAGTCAAACACTCTCTGACAGACACACACACAGGCAGAAACCCACAAACAGACATACATTCATGGCAATAGACTTGCAAATGATTACTGCTAAAAACTTGCTGAATAATTGTAATTGGTTAACTCAAGACAAGGTGCTGCAGCAACTAAAGAAAGTTAATATAAACAAAGCTCCAGGGCCTGATGGTATCCATCCACGAGTACTTAAGGAACTAAGTGTAGAAATAAGTGAACCTCTGTTTTTAATCTTTCAAGATTCTTTTCTTTCAAGAAGTGTTCCAGGGGATTGGAGGAAGGCAGATGTGGTTCCTATATTCAAAAAGGGTTCAAAATCCTTGCCTGGAAATTATAGACCTGTGAGCTAAACTTCTGTCGCTGGGAAAATATTTGAAAGGTTATTAAGGGATAATATTCAAGAATTCCTTGAGAAGAACATGGTTATCAGCAAAAATCAGCACGGTTTTATGAAGCACAGGTCATGTCAAACTAACTTTATTGCGTTCTACGAAAAAGTAAGCAGAAATATAGATCAGGGTGTTGCAGTGGATGGGATCTATTTGGATTTTGCCAAGGCATTTGATACAGTTCCACACAATAGATTAGTGTTCAAATTCAAGGAAATCGGTCTAGATGAAAATGCTTGTTCTTGGGTAGAACATGGGCTTAAAAACAGAGTACAAAGAGTTGTCATTAATGGTAAATTTTCAAGCTGGACAGAGGTGGCAAGTGGTGTTCCTCAGTGGTCTGTTCTGGGACCCCTTCTATTTATCACGTTTATAAATGATCTTGAAGACAGCATTGAAAGTCATGTTTCGGTGTTTGCAGATTACACAAAACTCTGTAAAATAATACAATGTCAGCAAGATATTACTTTGCTTCAGAGGGATTTAGATAGACTGGGGGACTGGGCATTCAATTGGCAGATGAAATTTAATGTTGAAAAATGCAAAGTTATGCACTTCAGCGTAAAGAATACACAAGCAACGTATACCCTTAATGGAAGCAAATTAGGGATAACAACACACGAAAAGGACTTGGGAATTGTTATAGACAACAAACTATGCAACAATGTGCAATGTCAATCAGCAGTGGCCAAGGCCAGTAAGGTATTGTCATGCATGAAAAAGGGCATTCATTCTCGGGTCGAGAATATCATTTTGACTCTTTATAAATCACTGGTAAGACCACATATTGAATATGCTGTGCAATTTTGGGCACCTGTTCTAAAGAAGGATATTATGGCACTAGAAAAAGTGCAGAGGCGGGCTACAAAATTAATAAAAGGAATGGAACATATCAGCTATGAAGAAAGGTTAACAAATTTAAACCTATTTAGTTGAGAAAAACGTCGCCTGAGAGGGGATATGATAACATTATACAAATATATTCGGGGCCAATACAAACCATTGTGTGGAAATCTATTCACAAACCGGACTTTACATAGGACACGAGGTCATGCGTTTAGACTGGAAGAAAGAAGATTTCGTCTAAGGCAAAGGAAAGGTTTTTTTACTGTAAGAACAATAAGGATGTGGAATTCTCTGCCTGAAGAAGTGGTTTTATCAGAGTCCATACAAATGTTCAAACAACTACTAGATGAATACTTGCAAAAACAGAATATTAAAGGATATAATCTTTCAATGTAGGGTATTAACTGCTTGATCCAAGGATAAATCTGACTGCCATTCTGGGGTCAAAAATTATTTTTTTTCCTAGCTTGTTGCAAAATTGGAAGTGCTTCAAACTGGATTTTTTGCCTTCTTTTGGATCAACAGCAAAAAACAAATGCGAGGAAGGCTGAACTTGATGAACGCAAGTCTCTTTTCAGCTATGTAACTATGTAACTCACTCACTGACAGACAGACACTCAGTGACATACATACACTCACTCACTGACAGACACTCATTGACAGACATACATACACTCACTCACTGACAGACACACACACAGGCAGACACTCACTGACAGACACACACACAGACACTCTCTGACATACATACACTCACTCACTGACAAACACACAAACACATACACAGGCAGACACACACATACTGACAGTCAAACACTCACACACTAACTGACAGACACACACACAGGCAGACACTTACTGACATACATACACTCACTGACAGTCAAACACTCACACATTCACTGACACAGACATCCAGCCTCCTTACCTCACTGGGGTCCAGTGTGGGGCAGCTCCTCACTCCTCCAGCGCACTGTTTAGTATACCAGGGCCAGAAGGATCAGCCCGGCACTGAGGGGAGGCGGCTATAGAGCCGCTTGCCCAGTGCTGCGGCTCAGAACAGGGGGAGCCCACCAGGAAATATCCCGGTGGGGGCCCCCAGCAGGCTGGCGCCCTATAAGAATTCCTAGTTCGCCTAACGGTGGTGTCAGCCCTGATAACGAGATGTAAAAGCTATTTACCAATTTGTTTCCATCCTACATTTTCCTGTCTGTCACAATGTCATCAAAATTAAAACTTGCTGCAGTTAGGTGTAAAGAGACAAAGTCAAGCTAACAATTGGAAACTCTCCATACATCTGATAGGGAAAATACATTTTTGAAAACTATTATATTGTTGAAAAGAAACTATTAAATAATGAATATGTAATTACTATTAACTGATGAAAACTAAAAACATTTAACTGTTTACACACACATACAGTTATGATATTGTTAATACTGGCCCCCCATATCAAAAACCTTGTTCAATGCTCCCCCCCCCCCTTACTTATGGCACTCCCAAACACCATATCCAATCCATATTTCAATGTATTGTGCCCATGTTCCTCCACCAATCCACTTTTTAATCTATTATTCTCCCCTACCCATGTCCCTCCACAATGACTAGACATCAAGACATTAGGTGTCCCCAGATGGTCCCCATTTGTCAATGGATGGTGGGGTCGCTTAGTAATATTTAAGGTTGGTAAGTAGGTGAGAAGTAATGAGCTTCAAGATCAAAATGAGTTTATGCTCGCTCTATTAAACTGATGGCCAGCCTGAGGAAAAAGAGGTATACTAGTGAGAAGGAAGAGGACATTCTCAAGCTATAGCTGGAAAGAGCAACTCACGTCACAATTTGATTTCCATTAGTCTGAGCTAACTCTGTGAATAAATTATTCATGCTGACAGTGCCTTCAAAATCTCATCAATTCCATCTAGAGGACATCTAGAGGAGTTCAGGGTTCTGGAGACTATGGATATTATGCATGCGCCGAAGACAGTCTCTCATTTCTGGTTTCTGACTCTGACATGTTCTGATTTTGTTCCATGGCATCCCATATCCAGGGTCATGGAATTATTGTTAGCAATGCTCTGCTCTTCAGTAGGTGGCAGGTCACACAACATCAACAGCCATACACAGATGTCACCTATGGCCCCAGCAATGCAGATGACTTTGGCCATATGGATGTACTCTGTCATGCAGGGTGTATCCACACCACTCCTGTTGTCTGGGTGCCATATCCTCTCCCCCCAACCTGTGCATAGTCCTTATAAGTTCATATGTGGAAGGGTGTGCTAATGGTAACCTCCTTGCATGCCTCTAATCTTCCATTCATGTCATCTACTATGGAGAGTGTGAAGAAACCCCCTTTTGTTATATTATATATACTCATTGCATTCCCTTTTTGTTACCCTATTTCTGCCCATTGCATTCGGTAGATGTAACTACTGAACAAAGACCACCCTCTGGCTCATTAAACATCAAAGTTAGGGTGAAATTGCTACCTCTGTCTGTGCGGCCAGCGTTCGTCAGTTTTTCTGCTTTTTCGAAAGTGACCGGCAAAACCCACCAAATTCATGGAACTGTTTTGGGCATACAGCCCAGGGTGAGCCGGTCACGAGAGACTTCCATAGTTTTTGCGAACCCCTGAACCGATCTGGGTGAAATTCGGATATGTTGGTCACCCAGATCAGGGCTATCAGGGGACATATAATTTATGGGGATACCTCAAGTATAAAGGGGTGTTCCAGTTATTGAGGAAAAATATGATTTTTCAGCCCTGAGATAATTTAGTTAATATTTTATCAGACTGAATTATCTCCTGGGCTAGGGGAGGGAACTTTGGGTGTGTGTTAAAGTTTTACTGTATGTGATTGGTTAATGTTTGTCCCTCCCTGAGGGCTGTCCCCTTGCATGGGGACTTGCATAAAAGCTGTGTGCACCCATTAAAGGACAGTTCATTTTGTACCCTTCTTCTTGACTTCGGCTAATGTTTAGGGATTCGTGTGTTTCACTAAGGGAATCGTCTGGTGAAGCTATTGGGATTACTATATGGTTCGTCTATTCTATCTACCGAACGGAGGGCTATAATCACTAAGGCTCTGGCGGTTCGGGAGGAAACTACCGAAGGAGGTTTAAATATACTTGGTTTCCTTACAGAGAGGTTATCACTGAAAATCTCAAATTTATGAGAAAAGTGACTAGAGAGTCTAAGGTCTAGAGCATATGTGTGATCAGAGGTCACAGTATCATCAGTTTTTGAATACCTTGATCTGTTGACCAATGTTGTGGAGATAAGAAATAAATCTATATAAGAAAAAGAATCATGTGGGTGGGAATAGAATGTATAAACACTGTCCATTGGGCTACATTGTCCATTGAACAAGGTTAAACCCACAGACAGGGAGGCCTGAAAATAGGGAGTGCAATCTGCCCACAAAGTAGTCTGGAGGCATGTTAAAGGGACATTATAGTCACCCAGACCACTTCAGCTCTTCCGGACAGCCACAAAAGACGCATTGTTTTCCTGACACTATAGTGATCCTTTAAAGTCTCAAAGAATTATAAGTACACAAAACTGAAAAAGATAATGTTAATTTATGTTAATTCAGAGTTTTCATCGAACGTTTCAGAGCCGTGTATCCCTGCGCCCACAAACCTAGAAGTCATTTAGATTCACCTCTCTGATAGCAGTTACCACCCTTGTTGGGTGGTGAAAGCCAAGACCTGAGTACTGGTGATTAGGGGTGGACTGACAACTCACAGGGCCCTCGGGCAATAGAGAATTAAGGACCTTATGCAAGGTCTTGTGCGCTTTGCACGCATAATAGCTGTGTGAGAGGGCCTCCAAACAGGGCCAGATTTACAATTAAGGAGTCAATACAATCAATAACAATGTTTTAATAAACGACTGTTTTTGAATGAAGTAACCCTTACTGGCATTAAAATAAAGAAATAAAGGAAATTTAAATACACGGTTGCTCTGTGTTTGTTAGTGACATCACAAGTAGCGTCCCCCACATGTGCAACCATACTAGGCCATAAAAGTAGCCTCCGTGTTTGTAGACTACTTGTGGGGTTGAGGGATGCTGCTTGTGATGTTGTGTTCCTGTATGTCAATGTGCTGAGTTAGAATTAATCTGTCTTGTTTTACCTATTTTACTGGGTTGCAGAATATGTTGGTGCTATATAAGTTATTGTAAAAATTATGATTGTTTGTGTAAGGAGGCTGTATGCAGTATTGTAATGGTGGGGATGCCGTTTGTGATGTGTGTTTAGGGAGGCTGCATGTGGTATTACATGTGTGAGGATGCTGCTTGTGGGATTATGTGCATACAGTCAGGCTCCTTGTGGGTTTGCGTGTGTGGATGGGACTGTTTGCAGTGTAGTATGTGAGTGGAGTTAGAATTAATCATTTGTCTTGTGTTGCAGAGTGTGTGTGGTTTGGGACTGTTGTATTTGTGTGGGAATGCGGCTGTAGTAGGCATCTGGAAGACACTGGGCTGTAGTGTGTGTGTGTGTGTGGATACTAGAGACTCTACTTTGTGTGGGGACCATAGAGGCTGCAGTATGTGTGTGTGAATAGTGACTGCAATGTGTGAAAGAGGATTTGGCCTGTAGAAAGTGCAGGGGGAGCATAGGGGCTGTAGAAGCTGCAGGGTTGGCATAGGAACTGTAGTAGCTGCAGGGGGCATAGGAACTGTAGTAGGGGCATGTAGTGGCTATAGTGGGTGCAGCATAGGGGCAGTATAGGGTACTGGGAGGTATAGGTGCTGTGGTGGGTTCAGTGAGGGATAAGGGCTGTAGTGAGTGCAAGGAGGGTTAGGGGCCATAGTAGGTGCATGGAGGGTTAGGGGCTGTAGTGGATGTAGGAAAGCATAGGAGATGTAGTGTGTGTTAGGGACTGTATAGGTGGGTTAGGGACTGTGGTGGGTGCAGAAAGGCATAGGGGCTGTGGTGGGTAAAGGAGAGCATAGGGGCTGGGATTAGGTGAAGGGGACATAGGGGCGGAGATGGGTGCTGGGTAGGATAGGGCCTGTGGTGGGTAAAGGGGGGCATAGGGGCTGTGCTGGGTAGGATAATGGCTGTGTGGGTCAAGGGGCATTTGGTGCTGGATGGGTCCGCTCGCACCTCCCATGCCTCCCTGCTCTGTCAGTCCCTGCATTGGCTTCCAGTTAGATATAAGGGTCAATTTAAAATTCTGGTGCTTGCTTACAAGTCCCTACATAATGCTGCTCCAACCTACCTATCCTCCCTAATACACAAGTATGTCCAATCGAGGCCCCTATGCTCTGCCAAAGACCTACGTATATCCTCTGTCCGTACTCCCACCTCTAATGCTCGCCTCCAAGATTTCTCCAGGGCTGCACCTCTTCTGTGGAACTCCCTTCCCTTCTCCAGAAGACTTTCACCCAGTCTCCACTCATTCAAAAAATCATTGAAAACTCACTTCTTCAAGAAAGCATATCAATTAATCTGTTTGCAGGTTTTTATCCCCCACCCCCCATGACTCCTCTCCTGCAGCTGTCAAAAATCACCTACTAAGCCCTCAGTGAATACTTTTCTAACAACGTACTTAGTACCCCTACTTTTACCCTTTGTCACTATACCCCACTCCCTCTAGAAAGTAATCTCATTGAGCAGGGCCCTCCACCTCTCTGTTCCTGTATGTCCAGTTGTCTGGTTACAATTACATGTCTGTTAGTCCACCCATTGTACAGCGCTACGGAATCTGATGGCGCTATATAAATAATAAAATAATAATAATAATAATAGGGGCTGTGGTAGGTGCTGGGTAGAATAATGGCTGGGTAGAGAGGCACAGGGGCTGTATTGGTAAAGGCATGCATAGGGGCTGGATGGGTAAAGGAGGAAATAAGAGATGTAGTGGATGAAGGAGGGCATATGGG